TCTGAACCATCATTTCAGAATCACGGAGCTTAATAACCGTCATGTGCCAGGATTTCTACCATTCCGTAAAAGGGGAAAGAATATCTGAGTTCGCTGCACATATTATCACGACTCAACTGATCAAGAGACATGAAGAAGATAACGCTCATAATTTACCTGTGATTTCGTGTCCACGCTAGACAATGCCATACCGGTGTTACAGTTCCAAAACCTGATATGACGATCGGCTGTTCCTCCGCCAGTAGCCAAGACATGCGACAGCCAAGGGCACCACGCCACCGCCTAAACAGAGGTTGGGCATCAGAAGCCTATAAAGCGAGAGAGAGAAAACATTCGAGGGTATCCTACCTTGACCGCAGCTTGGTGTTCCGTGAAAGTATACACCGGCTGTGGGTCAGCCGTGTACCCGGTTAAATCTTTACTCCATATGTTGAGTAGGTTATCATTTCCTCCACTAGCCAAATAGCGGCCATCAGGTGACCAACGAAGTCCGCACACTTCCTGTAAAATCGCAGAATGTAATAAAGTGGCATCACAAGCAGATTTGGCGAGTGGCAGAAAGAGCAAGAAGCAAACGGACCAATTTCACATATTCTTAATTAAAAGTTAAATATGAATGCAAAATCGCTCATAACATTTTAAAGCATTCATGAAGATAAGCGTGACTTCAAAACCCATCGGAATACTCTGAATTCAAAAAAGCCTTGAGGGTATTTACAAAACATTTGAGCTCTTCTTGCTAGTTTCAATGCCATCTGATGACAGGCCAAAGTTCAAGGAAGGAATATCAATAATAAGCATAGGAATAGTCCCTAACCCAACCTGTCGTCATTATCGGTGCGTCATCAGATCATTCCGGCGTGTTCTTGGACGATCAAGGGGACATTTGTGGTTCAGCAGAACCCAGTTCACAATTCTTGACGTCCACCGGTTGTCTCTCAAGCAAATCACATAATCAGTGCGTCATCTCTTGGCGTCAGAGAAGGCAGAGATCATGTCCGCTCATTCATTCTGTTGTTGAATTTGTGTGCTCGGCACGTAATCTCAGAAGTTCACTTGCAGAGTTCCCCTCCATTCCTCTTTGTGTAACCATTTGCTAAGCTTTTACAGCAGACCAACATTCAGCGCCGTAAATCAAGGCTAGGTTGACGGCTAAATCAAGCAGTGTTTGATTCGTCAGCATGCACAGGTCACTGTCGAGTAATGATATATTAATACAATTGAAGTCGGCATTTGCCACCTTCCTTCTTCGTCTGATTTTTCCGTATAGGGAGTTCCCGCTGCCCACCTGAAGGCCAATATACGCATAGCTTGTGACCTCTTCGAGTTCTTCACTATTCGCGTAAAGTCCTTGGATAAGTGCTCGTTTCATATCCAATCATTATAATGCTGCATTAAGTAAAATCCATTATTCCCCATTATTGGTTCAGTTCGAAAATGAAGGTGTCTGTATTAAAGTCGATTTTGATCCCAGTGCTCACCTATGGTGATGAGATGTCACGCATCATGACTGAAAAACTGCATTCCCGGATACAAGCGAAAGAAATCAGCCTTCAGCGAAGAGTCTTGAATTCGTATATCTGAGAAAGCACTGGTCTCTAGGTTGCTCTCTGTCGCTTTAACGATCGCTTCTGTATTTATAATGCTAAAACAGGAGGACGCTTACGCAGGAGGTTGCAGAAAGCTAAGAATCAGCAAGTTTGTATTATCCACCACACCACACCACTAATAAATGCGCAGCGATTTGTAAACTATGAAAATCACTGACAGCTGACACATCTGACGTTTTGACAAAACTCACACCGGTTATCAATAGGGAAGTTTCTTTAATGGTTTTAGCGCTGCTAACCATGGAACCGAAGACGTATCGTCTTCCTCTCATCCACGATGCGGCATCAACATAAGTTTAAGAAATAATTTATGTAATTCACTTGTGGTCTGTTTCTCTGTCGAATTAAACTGAAAATTCAGGACAGGGAATTTAGTAGATCGATTACCTCCAAATGATACAGCAATTCAGACAAGCAATGAACACTAGCTTCCTTTGTACTTGGAATTCTTCGATTTTGAGAAGGCCTTCGACTCTGTACTGGATTCCTTGAGAAGTCAGGGAATCGACAAAAGATATATAAACCTGACCGTCATGATTAACAGGAATACAGCTGCTAGTGTGAAGATACACGGAAACACAAGCAAGTTCAGAATCGAAAAAAGCGTTGACAGGAAGAGGAAATATCACCTAAGATATTTACTACAGCCCAAGAACAGATTTCAGGGGCTGAACATAGATAGGCACGAGGAAGGTCACATACGGTTTGCGAATGACATTCTGATCCTCTCAAAGTTGTCAAAAGAATTCCAACAAAGATTTCAAGAGCTGAGCATTAAAGTAGCACTGAAAATGAACCTGAAGAAGACTCAGATTACGTTTAACAAAGATATGACCATACGACCTGTGTAAGTCAATAAACTTAAATTTGAAGATGTGCACAACATGCCAGTCTGGGACAGCCCATCTCTGCAACTAAAAACTGAACATAGGAAATCAACAGAAGAATAAAATGGCATGGAGCCTTTTTGGAAGATTGATAAAGTATTTTATCAGCGTGTGCTCCCAATGATGACACATGAATGCGAAAGCTCACTATGAAAGCTATTCATGAACTACAGACTATGCAACGTAGCATGGAAAACGTAACACAAAAAAAACAGGATGACAAACGAATGGGTGAGGGTACATACAAGAGTCTCAGATGTCATTACGTGAAGAAGTTAAAGTGGCAATGACCAAGACAGGTTGCAATAAGAACCGATCATCACTGAACTAGATGTACATGGTTCTCTTTTGGTTCCAAACGAGATTAAACGGCCTGTAGGAAGACCTCTAATTAGATGGTAGGTTGCGCTGAAGAAATCTGCAGGGTCAGAATGAATGAAAATGGCAGAAAACACACGGAAGTCTATGGTGAAACACTGGTGAGGCCTTCACCGAGCAGTGGATCGATAAAGGCTAATGATAATGATAACATTGGCCCATAAAATGTGCGCAGGAAAGGAAAGGAGTAGGCATTTTTTACCATTTTTCTTCAAACAGTTGCTGTTAAAACGAAACACGCGAAAACTGATTGAACTATGCACTATCTCTGCCATCTAGACTGCATAAAAGGTCAACCTAATGAAATAGGAAATAAGAGCTCAGCGTCTACTCTCTCCGCAGAGGATTACATAACTGTTTTAGCAGAGAAAGGAAGACACAGTAAATCCAGAAAACGGAATGAACTAGATAATATTGAGAGTGGTATGACTGAGCTGAACTGAAACACACCACAGGTCATGCTGACTAGCATAAGTTCCATTAGAACAGGATGAAATTTAGACATAAGACCTCACAGTGTGCCAAACTGTGACATTAATGATCTTATCCCTTAACTCTGAAAAAAACTAACCCATTTTCAATGTACCGAAGAAGAAATAAATGATAAAACTGGTGATGACACAATCCGAGGTATACAAATTTTTTGGCGGCTGCAATGCTTTAAGCTAAAAAAAATGTGCAACTCAATATTACTGTATCACTTCAAAGGCTGCGAAGCTTAACGAAAAACTCTTCCTTAAAGGAGCTATTGATCTTCAATATGGTCAGGAGTACTAAAGATTCTAGAAATCACTGCAATGCCAGATACAAGCGGAAAAAGGCTCCTTTCAAAAATCACCCATGTGACGAGGCTGCAAAACTTTAACAAACGGATAATTCAAGATACCGCAGATTGTGACCTGTTCATTTTACAGGTCGAGCGATCACAGTTACGAAAATTTTTCCTAGTTATCAGTATTCAACAAGATATTCACAGGATCATAAGTCAAACGGTCAAAGAACATATCGAAAGCCACATGATTCGATTACATATAACACGAATGGGAGAGTTAACAAGTAGCCTGTTTAACACCTTAGAAATGTCAGGCTGAAAATTCAGCGTGACGTATAATGTTTCATTTTAACTGGGAGTTCCTCTGAGTAAAAAATTTACCTCGCATCGATTATGTACAACAGCCAAAAAAGAGGAAGTAAACCGCTAGCCTGCAAATAATATGGATAGTATTGCCTTCTCGTACGTTCACGCCAAACCGTGGAATTCGTGTTGTCACGCTGTCTAATCTGTACACCCTACCACTGTCATTTGCAACCACCCACAAGATAGCTGAATAAAGCATCAGTACAAAGTACAGTCACTAAATTTGTGACGAATTATTGTGCGAAACGCCTCAGTAAAAATTAAGTCGTACAACCTCTCTGACTGGCACAGGAACGAAGAAAAACAGCTCAGAGAGTTAAAAACCTGGTTGATCTCACAATCTAGTAGCAGTAGCCGGTTCTGAAACTGGGTAATGGATATTTCGAACATTATATAAATATATCACATGACTTTGTATCACTACAGTTTTGTTTTGTACTATTAAAATTTTAAGATAAATATCCAAGATAC